TTTTTTTTTTTTTTTTTTTTTTGTAATTGGCTTGATTTACTGCTGTTGTAATGATATAACTTTACATGTATATAAATTAGCCATCTATCCTTCAATTAAAACAATTTTAATTTTTCAGTATTTTAAAAAGAGTAATGTTATATGTACATAATAGTGTACATAGAGGTGTACATAACACTCACATTGAGTGCAGGGACGGATCCTTCATAGGCCTGGGCTGGGCTGAAGCCCAGGCCCGTTTTTTTTTTTTTTACACCTAGTAACCTCATTTTTCTTTTTTAATTTACCCATAGCCCAGCCCATAGCCCAGCCCATAGCCCATCCCAACCAAAATGTAATAAATAATCAGGCCCAATTTCCCATCCCAAACTTACATAGTTAGTTTATGATAAGTATTTTACATTCATTGTTAATTTATTATATTTAATTCACATAACCATAAAAATTAATAATCTTGGGTTGGGAAAAACAGAGCACTGTGCACTCTTCCAGTCTTCATCGCGATCTTTTTACTGTTATTTCTACGGTTCTACCACTGGCATCTACGGTCTACCGTCAACGGATTGTTCACCGGTGGCTTCTCGTCGACCACGATCAGCCACCACTCGGCAGACGGCCCGTCGGCCCCCACTTTAGAAGGTACCGAAAAAAAAAAAAAAATTCTTCCCAAATCATAAACCCTAGATTACTGTCATTTTGCACAATGCTTGAATCGTGATTCGAGATTTTGATTTTGATTTCTATTTTCTACACTTTTGAGTTTTGATAGCTATTGCTAATTGGTATATTTTTTGCATTGTACATGTTTTTTTGCCTTTTTTTTCATGTTCTGTAATTGAACTTTTGTTGGATTAGTTTTTTTTTTTTTTTTTGGGATTTTCGAGCTTCAATTAATATCTTGGGATGATAAAGTATATAACCCTACAGAGAAGAAGAAAATGTAAAAAAACCCTAATCAGAGGGTTAAGATTAAAAAAGGATTGAAAATGGGATTTAAGACCCATGTTTATGTTGCGAAAAGGAATTTCAAGGATGATAGACAACATTTTGTAGTTTAAATCAATACTAGTGATTAATTAACAATGTAAATAAATATCAAAGGGAGAAACCTTATTTTGTTTTCTTGCTTTTGGATGCTTTTGCTGGGAGTTTTTCTAGACCATTCTGTTTAGTTGTTGAATTCTCTTTTGGGGGTTTGGGAGATTGAAACTATCTGTTGGACTCAATGGGAGTGACATTACCAACAGCAAGTCATCAATCTTCTCTTTAGCTTTTGGCTTTTGTAGTGTTGGATTATGTGGTAGTATTTTGGTTGTATTTTGTTGCCTGGGGTATATTTGCCTTGCTTAGGCCTTGTGAACCAGTTGGTTCCCGACTTGTACAAACATTATTGTTTCGATTTGAGTTCAAATATTTATATTTGAACTCCTACTTGACTTGAAGTCTTGAATAAATAAATGGACATATTTGGCTTATATTGGTATTGTGAAATTTTCAGAAATTCCTATGGAGCACCAACCATCCGCCAAAAAAGGGAAAATTCCATTGATATCCTCGTTCTTTAAAAAACGGGATCGTCAAACTAGTGAAAACACATCAAATACGGTGCAAAATGAGCATAATGAATCTCCTTCTTCGCACATCGCTCCAATTCTCCCAGAGCCGGACTTGAACACAACTACTCATATTGAGCGAGATCCGGGAAAAAGAAAGCAAATAAGTGAATATTCCGTTCACCTCAGAGATGGAATTAGACGGGAATATTTAAGAGCGGGACCTTATCAACCGAAAATGGAAACATATCCGACCACACAATTTGGTGCCCAAAATCGAAGCTTCCAAAAAAGGTGGTTTGATAAATTTAATTGGCTAGAATATTCACCCACTACGGATAAAGCATATTGTTTTTACTGCTTTCTGTTCTTAAGTGAAGTTAATATGCATAACACTTCATCTTTAGTGAAGGGAGGATTTAATAATTGGAAGCGAATAAGTCAAGGAGATAAATGTGCATTTCTTACTCACATTGGTTCTACAGCTTTATCACCTCATACTATGTGTGTTAGAAGAGCGGAGGATTTGATGAGACCCTCCGGACATATAGACAAAGTCTTGTATGCCCAGTCGAAAATTGAAAAGGAGAGAAATCGTTTACGCTTGAAGAGCTCAATTATGAGTGTTCGATGGTTAGCACTTCAAGGTTGCTCCTTCAGAGGCAATGACGAGTCATCTTCTTCTTCAAACCGTGGAAATTTTATTGAACTGATCAAGGCTTTCGCTAGTATGAATGCCGAAGTTAATGAAGTTGTGTTGGAGAATGCACCAAAAAATGCTCAATACATTGCTCCAGAAATTCAAAAGGAGATTCTAAATATAATGGGCAATAGAGTACGCCAAATGATTCGTGAAGAAATTGGAGGTAAGCATTTTTGTATTCTTGTTGATGAAGCGCAAGATATATCAAAAAAAGAGCAAATGGCCATTATTTTGAGGTTTGTCAACGATAGTGGAACATTGACTGAACGTTTCTTTGCAATTAAAAGTGTTACTGATACCACTTCGTTAAATTTGAAAAAAGAGATTTGCGGCGTTCTTTCTCATCATTGTCTCAATGTTAACAAAATGAGAGGACAGGGATATGATGGTGCTAGTAATATGCGTGGTTCGTGGAATGGTCTTCAAGCCTTATTTCTCAATGATTGCCCATATGCTTATTACATTCATTGTTTTGCACATCGTTTACAATTGGCATTGGTTTCTGCTGCAAAGGATGTTAGTGTTATTTGGGAGTTTTTTCTCACTTGGATAATGTTGTTAATATCATTACATCTTCACCGAAGCGTGTTTCTGAGTTGCGAGCAGCTCAAAGACAAGAAATTGAGAATCTATTAGCTAATGGAGAGCTAGACTCAGGAAGTGGTGCCAACCAAATTAGTAACTTGCAACGTGCTGGTACAACTCGTTGGAGCTCTCATTATAACTCTGTGAAGAGCTTGATTGATATGTATGCTGCCACTTGCAAAGTGTTTGAATATCTCATAGAGCATTGTCCGAGTGGAAGATCTAAGGCTGAAGTTCGTGGGGTTTATAGAAATATGGCAACCTTCGAATTTGTGTTTGTCTTGCATTTGATGCACAAAATTTTCAGAATCACAGATACTCTTTGCCAGGTACTTCAAAGAAAAACTCAAGATATAGTGACTGCTATCACATTTGTGTCTACCACAAAAAATGTTCTTCAAGATTTGAGAGAATCTGGTTGGGAGACATTTCTTGAGGATGTCAAAGGTTTTTGCTCCAAAAATGGTATTGATATTCCGAACTTAAATGACTTTTATAAGGTTGGTCGTTCTCGCGGACATACCACAATTGAACATCATTACCACTTTGACATCTTTAATGAAACGATTGATTTCATTTTGATGGAGTTGAACGTGCGGTTCAATGATACCTCTATTGAACTTCTTTCGCTCACTGTGGCTTTGGATCCTAAAAATTCTTTTGAATCATTTAATAGTGATGATATTTGCAAGCTCGCGAGAAAATTCTATCCGGAAGATTTTACAGCTCAAGATATTGTGACTTTAGAATATGAGTTAATTCATTATAAGCATGATGTGCTTAAGAATTTTCAGGCATCCACGCTCGTTGAATTATGCCAAAAATTAACAGAGAGTGGTAGATCGAAAGTGTATGTTATGTTAACTAGATTGATCCATCTAGTTCTGACGTTACCGGTTTCTACTGCTACAACCGAACGAGCCTTTTCAGCCATGAAGCATGTGAAGACAGCACTTCGTAATAAGATTGGGGATGGTTTTCTCGAAGATTGTTTGATTCTCTTCACCGAGCGGGAGTTTACTAATAGTATAAGTATAGATTCTATTATTGATGAATATTATTCTGTAAAAGCTCGTCGAGCGCAACTTCAGTAATTATTTGATGAAAAAATATTTTATAAAAATGTGTATTTAAAATTCTAGCCCAGTCTACTCTTAATTTCTAGATCCGTCCCTGATTGAGTAAGTTCCACCAAAATTGAAAAATCACGTGGACTCCACCCTATGTGAGTATCATGTACATCTCTATGTACATTTATTATGTACATGTAGCATTTTCCTTTTTAAAAAAGACGATCGTAGGAGCATAAATTAAAGTAAATCTAAGAGTCTCGCATGCTTATAAAGATACTTATAATGTTTTACGCCTTAAATAAATAATTTTTTTTTAACACCAAATTATTTGCTTAAACTATGTGATTATGGTTACAAAAGAATATTATGGGATAAACAAACGCCAACCACAAGTTTTCATAATTTATCACATGCAATTTTAATTTATAAAATAAAATAAAAATGTATATATGTCATAGACAAACACGCGTTGGCCACATATGTTCAGCACTTGCTGGAATCTTCCTCACACACCACAGTCAGCTGTTTTCCCCTTTTAGAAACTTTAGACTTATTTACCTTTTTCCACTCTTATCTCCCTGAAAAACAATACATTATTCATGATCCCGAACTTCTACAACCTCCGTCCGCGTCAAACATCAGTTAAATACCTTGCATTCTCTTTACTCTTTTAAATATCGAGTACCTGTTATGGCTCTGCCGTCGGTAAACCTTAGGCACGGCAGCGAATCGCCGGCCAGCGGTTCCCTGACGCCATTCCTGACAAAGACGTACCAGCTGGTGGACGATCGGGAGATCGATGACGTCATCTCCTGGAACGCCGACGGATCCACTTTCATCGTCTGGGACACGTCGGAGTTCGCCCGAGAACTGCTGCCCAAGTACTTCAAGCACAACAACTTTTCCAGTTTCATTCGTCAGCTCAACACCTACGTAAGCTGAAAATAGCCCAAAAACAAAACGTTGTCGTTTCAAGTTCTGATTTGATAAAATTCGTCCATCTTTTTTTTCTAGGGATTTAGGAAAGTTATGCCCGATCGATGGGAATTCTTCAACGAGTACTTCAGACGGGGCGAGAGGAAGCTCCTCCACGACATTCACCGACGTAAAATAGCTCCGCCGCCGGCGCCGCCGCCTAGGATGGCTTTCCCTTCCGAATCCGGCGAGGAGCAGCTGATTTCGTCCCCCTCCGTATCTCCGCTAATCGGAGAGAACAAGAGGCTGAAAATGGAGAACGTGCAGCTCAACAAGGAGCTGAGGCACATGAAGTGTCTCTGCAGCAACATCTACGTTCTCATGTCCAACTTCATCAACCACGGCGGCGGTGGCGGCGGCGGTGGGTTGCACTCGACCCATGTGGCGGCGGAGCCTCTGGATTTATTGCCGATGACGAGATTCGGCAAAGGAATTTCAGCGGCGGGTAGAAATCGGGCGGCGGCGACGGCGGAGGCGGATGGGATGGATCTACGGCTGCAGCCGCTGGGAGGGGAGATCAAATCTGAGCCGTTGGACGACACGCGAGATATTCAATCTTGATTGGCCCGCGTGCTAGAGAAGTTGGAGTGTTCTGGATAACTAACAAGTGTCGCGGGTCCACCTTGAGGAAGTTTCTTAAACTTTCCTTGGGTGGGGCCTACTGCTGTTTAGCCATGTTCCATTTTTATTTCAAATAATTGCAAAATGTAAAGCGCTCTACCTTATGTTTAAAAATGTATCACGTAAAGGGCCCGGGTGGTGTTCAGCAGTTGGATTCTCCTCCGGTGGGGTGGGGATCTGATTACATCATAACGTGATCGGCGTGTCTTATTCAAGGATGGTTATCGCTTAGTTAGTGTAGGCTTTGCCTCCTTTTATTGCACCCAAAGAAAAAAATTGTATCACATAATGAACAGGAAACCTTATCAAAATTTAATAATCTCTATCACATCTATTTGATGACATAGTATTTAGTGAGTGTTGCTTAATATTTCAACTAGTGAGGCCTTGGCGGTCCACGCATCGCCAACCCAAGATTAGTATATAATTAAAAATTAGTAATTATTTTTTGTCTGCCCAAAAACATGTTTCTTAAAATGTGTCCAATCTTATGCATATATTTGCCCGACTCGAAGAGTACACATACATATTTTTGGTAGCACTTCGAAAAAAAATATATTAAAATTACTTCACATGAATCCATCATATCCAATGAAAAATATCCAATAATCTCAGAAAACGTAAAAAGAAAGTTTTGGTTCACCATATAAAAGCGACAAACTTGGTATATTATGTGTTTCACTTGCATGACATCTCATTAAAGACAATGTAAAACAAAATTAAAGTGTCCGTGTCTATTACTGAGACAGAGCAGTCTCGTTCAACAACATCAAATGCGATTTATCCATTCTGAGTGAAATAATTTTTTGAATTAATTTCCTGCTTCATTTGTCCTAGACAAATGAATTTCATGAGGAACTTCAATAGAACAAATTAACACTGCCAAAATAAGATAGAATTTACAAAGCATGATTACACTATAGCAACCATTTTCCCATCACAAATTTTCTTTAAGATTAATTGCAAGCAGTTTTTATAATAAACTAAAAGAAGAAAGAGAAAAAGCTGATTGACAAAGAGGCTCTCTTTCTTCTGATTGACAACATAAGATTAATTGCAAGCAGTTTTTATAATAAACTAAAAGAAGAAGTATATTAAGCCACGAACATCATCTTAAACTAGACCCAAAAATTTAAAATCAAATCAAACCAATCCAGGACAAAAATAAAGGTAAGAGAAACTGGAACATAATAATCAAAGCTAGGAAAAGTAAAATCCTTACAACTTCTTTCTCTTTGTTAAAGGGACCGAGAATTCCCGCCGGCGGGATTGAAACCATGGCTCGAGCATGATGTTATGGGGGTTGCCTACCCTCGTAGGATCACGTCTTGAGTCCCTCCCTTTCCTAGTACCAAAAAAAAAGGGACCGAGAATTGAAGAAATAGAAGGGATCATAGATACCATTAGCGTACACAAGAAACTAATCAACCAGATGAACGACATGACTTGATTTCTTAGCTCATTGTTTCTCTTTCCTTGCTATAGAGAATATTGTAATAGTAAAACAAAGCAAAAACCTTGAAACAATAAAGCGAAGAGACCAAACACCGAAAAACATATCATCATATGGAAAATTTAATGAAGAGAGCGGGTAAGTCGTACTTGTCAATCAGAAGAAAGAGAAAAAGCTGTGAAAAGGAAATGACCATAATATCAGGAAAGCAAAACAATGCAAAGATCAAAGGATGTACTCATCTTCATCTCAGTGCCTTTCTCGAGAGAGTCAACCACCTGATGTTCATATAGTGCAAAAATTAGAATTAAACATTAGTCTTCTCATAAAATAATTCATGATTAAAAAACATAAGAGTGCCAGACCTAAGCTTTATGCATGACAAGGCATATTAAATGCAAACAATTGAATAAACGAATGCAATTTACATCATATGTGACATGATGAAGCCACGAACTAAGGCACATCAATAACTCCTCACGATCTTACGCATTCTTATTAAATCAAATAAGATCAATTCCATGTAGATTTTTACTTGAATTCTTGTAACTTAATATCGTGCATTGTTTACCTCGACTCCAAGGCCTTTCACATATACATTTGAAATAGCTCAGAAGGATCGGTCAAGGGGCTCTCTGTAAAAATGCGAAAATACTTAATTTGAGACATTATATAAAATACAAATCACAATTTTTCTTTTAGTTTTTTAATTTTTTTTTATTTATTTATTCATTATTTTTTTTTTATGAGTGACGGAATTTAGTTCTAACCTTAGCTTTTGCAATGGCCTCATCCACCTGTTTTCTCACTTCTTTCTCGTAGCCCTACAATCAAGAAGAAGACAAAGAACAAATAAATAGTAGACAATTTGTTCGTCATGCAATATAGGCACAAACATAAGCAAACGAAATGTTCAATAAAAGTGAACAAAAGATAACATTATATATATTGCCTTCATTTCCTTTTCAATCGCTAGATTGTTTGATAGTATTAGCTTTTTTATTCTCTTAATTGGATCGCGCTCCTACAGAAAATAGCAATAACAATAACAATAACAATATCATAATAAATAAATAAATTGTTGAATTATTAAACTAAATTAATATTTGTTAATGTATCTAGGTGATCATATTCTAGGAATTTACATAATTAATGAATGTGAGTTATAAGATGTGGTAACACAAAACTCTCCGACCGGCTGGAATCCGAGTGATCGCCTTCCTTCTTGCCGGTTGAACGTCGTGCACCTACAAATAACTCTCACACCGGAGGGGTTTTCCGGTGAAGAGCCTCTAATGCTTAAGTCAGTATCTATTTAATCAATTATAAAGAGTAAGCAATAGAATGATCGTGTTAAGCAAGAAAAGCTCACCCCATATATATAGGGGTACTGAGATACCTGCCCTAGGAGCTGCCCAGATCTGCTGAGCTGTCTGCCCCAACTGCCCGTGCGTACACACGCAGTGTGCGTGTGTCAGAGGTAGTCGTCGCCACTATCCTCTACACCAATGCCCTCGCGCCACGTGTCCTCTGCACATGGGATAGAATATTCCACTGTGATCTGCTGACGTCTCACTAACACCTCTGCAATTCCGTTAGAGGCTCATCGTATTTTGACCTTATCCAAGTCAACTCCCAAAATTGTCTTTTATCCCCGACTAGATTGACCACTAGGTTATCCTTGAGTTACCTTTCGACCATGTTCGTAGCTTTTTAGACGACCTTCTGCTCGAGTTCCTCTCGTGTCAGTTAGGCCTCCTTATTGCTCGTGTCTAGGCCTTCATCCCTTCCTCTTAGTGGCATTTTAGCACCACTCTCTCGGCTCGATATCGTGACCCAACATAGCTCTCCTTCACTCTTGGTCTGCTAGGCCGGTCCAAGGAGTCGGCCTATCCGTCTAGGTATAATATCCCATATCATCTAGTTCCCCCCACTCTGGTCGAGTCTAAATGACTCGATCTAAGAGTGAAAATCCGTTGCCTTCACTTAGTAGTTCGTTTATTCTTCAGTCATTGACCACTTCGCGCATATTCTCTTTCTTTTCTTTTATACGCTTTCCACCTGTCCACTATTATACGACCCTGCCTTTGCCACTTGTCCCCCTCTGTCAGATATGTCTATCATCATGTCCTCTCACCTTTTTCCACCTCCTCGTATATCGTGCCCTCATAAATACTCCTAACCGTTGGATTTCACTTATAATCCAACGGCTACTTCCTCCAACCTCTCCTCTTCTTTTAATCTTATCCATATAAATATTAACACTTAGGCGATTTTCAGCTTTTTCCACCCTTGCAAATTCCAGAACTCACTCGTACTCTCAAACTTTCCCCTGCAAATTCGAACTTGTGCTCTCGAGGACCCTTTTCCAGGCGATCTCATATCTACAAGAAATTCTTCTCACCGCAACAATGGTAAGTCCTTACAGCCACAACTTGCTTTTAATTTTGCCTCTGATTTTTCAATTTTTCAATTTCTCTCCATTTCCCCTTTATCTAAAAACCCTAGTCCTCGCGTTTTGATTTCCCCTCTTCTTCTACCTCTTCTTCGCTTCTTCAAACCTTCAAGTTCCTCGACTAATATTTCTCCTTGTGTTGTTGTTTTACCGCTTCTCCAGATTCCGCAACCTCCACTAGAACGTCTACCACTCCAGCGAAAATTTGCACTCACCGCCATCGTCCCCAATTACCTGACCGACATCTTCTCCTCCCTCTCGCTCCGCTGAGGAAGTCTACCAACCCACTCCTCTCAGTATGATCCACCCCGATGATCCTTCCTCTATCATGCAGCCTTTCCGCTTAATCGACGAGCCAGAAGGGGATGACCTTGACCATATGCTCTAATCAAGCACCGTTGACCTGCTTTTGGCGCTTCTGATGCGGAAGAAGCTGCCCTAGAAGCCGCCGAAGCAGCTCATGAGGAAGATGATCGTATCCCTCTGTCTCAGCGTTACAAATTATCCTCTACACCTAAAATTACCAAGCCAAAACCATCGACCACTCTTCCTTCCTCTTTCAAGTCGATAAAAACCAAACCATCCTCGAGTTCTATTCTTTCTCCACCTAGGCCTACGAAGTCTCGCTCCCCTCCTAACTGGCTAAAACTGTCAAAATTCGGCCATCCTGTGGGCTGGTGTTTCACTTTCCCTGGCTCCAATGACACTTATGATAATCCTCCTGCTCGCAATTACACCTTTTTCGAGGTGCAATTTAAATTGGACGTTTGTTTCCCCCTTTGTCTTGAAATTTTAGAAATATGTGACTGGTTCGGCCTTCCTTTCAACCAGCTTCCCCCAAATGCCATTCACTCGATCAACACATTCCTTATCCTTTACCATGTCCGCCTAGGTCGATTCGATAAGAGTTCTTCCACTACTGCTATGTACCCTCCAAACAAGCCAACGGGCTATATTTGAAAAGTCGTAATGGCACCCATTTATCTCCGATATTCCTTCTAACGTCCCAAAGTGGAAGAGCAAATTTGTCTA